TAGCCTAGCATCGCAAGGTTAAACATCATTCAAAATAAAATAAAATAAAAAGAGAAAAAAAAGATGAAAAGAAAAGAGTGCAGAATCTTGAATTTCAAAGAAAAACTTCAAACAATCGTTTAATCCAAAATCTGACTGCCGAAGGGTTTCCTAAAGTTTCCCTTAAATAACCCACATTCAGAACGGGTTAGGGTTCCACCACTTCGGCCCACATATAAAATAAAAACTTAATAAAATTAAATAAAACATTAAACATGGCCTTGGGCCCTAAACTCATTGGGTTCTAATCTAATTTACAAGTCCAAACGTTAAAATAAAATTCCAACAAAAACATGTCATCTTGGTCTCAGGTTTCGACCATCTTCTCGTCCTAATTGGGCTTCAGTACCTGAAATAGAGATTGTATCCCTTTCTGTTAGCTGAAAAATGCAACAAGAATGGAGTCGATCGAACATCTGTAGAGTGAGATATGCCCAAAATACGAAAGTAGTGTAAATCTTGAAAATTCTGACAAAAATCAATTAAACCCAATTAAAATCTAGAATTCTAATTTGACCCAAAAGACCTTTATTTAACTCAAATAAATCCTAAAAATACTAACCAAGAGTAATAAATAAGTGTAACAAAATATGTGTTATCAGTAGCATGTTGGTTAAGCCTTCCTTTTTGCACAGGTTCATACATTGACAATAAGGGTGTAAATAGGATAGGCTATAGCTTAAATAAGTTGGGCCTATGTAAAAAATTTTAAACATGGTCTAACCTATTAGCCTTATGAGAGAAAGATTATTACCTGATTGGCCTATCAGGCTTACAATAATTTCAATTGTAATAAATCATACATGAGTTGCTTAAGAAATTACACCACAAGAATAAACAGGAACAACTCTTATGACTACCAATTACTCTGTTCAAAACACTTCTTTATAAGAAGTTAAGGAAATACAAATTTATCTCTTGAAATTTGAGTATTCAACCTAAAACATCATAGATCACTTTAAATAGCAAAAACAATATCATGTAATACTAAAATATCATCCTAAAGCATCATAGGTCAAGACTCAATAGGCTTTGAGGCCTAGCTTCTAAGTAAGCTTTTTTTTTTTTTTTTTTCACACAAACTCATTTTACTACTTAAATTAGTTTAGGTATGCCTTGAGGTGTCTGATTTATTTACACTCTCAATTATCGTAGAGCCTTACATTAAACATCACACAGAGCTTGTATGTAGGTTGTTTGAGCAAGATCTCAAGATAAGTTATGGATTGGTTTAATGTGTCAACCCTATGAAATGTGTAACCAGTCCATAACAAACACCTTAAAAAGGAGTAGGTACTTGATAAACTCCTTTATGTTCATTATTTATTTTGAGATTTGTTAACATATTTTTTTGGGACATATGTTGAAAAATAAAAAATAACATTGATCACTCTTGGTTAAATTAGCATAGGTTCATATAGAATAAAGTATCAAATATTTTTTTAATTTTTTTAAGATATTAAATACTTCTATTTTTTATTTGATAACTTATCAATAGTTCTAAATCTCTTAATAGTTTCCTTAATTACAAAATCAAGAAGATATTTAAAGTTTTTTTTTTATGTTTTTGAGATGTTAAGTATATATTTATTAGTTTAATATTTTTTTAAGAGATAAGATATTGTTACTACCAATTAATGTTACTACCAATGTCACTGTCAATTTGTTTCACCGTTAGATCGATTATGTTGATCCAACGATTATATTTAACTTTCTAATTTTTTTTCTCTCTCTATATTTAATATTTTATATTTATTTCCACCTTAGTATAAAATATTAATTTTTTTTAGAAGCATACATGATAACTTTTTTTTTTAATATTAACTTTAATTATCTCTTTTAAGACGAGTACGCTCTCCCAGATATCTCCACAAACTCTAACTTTTTAAATTGAGATTAATTCTAAAGACGGGACAAGTCAAAGATTAAAGTCTTATGCTCCTTCCAAAACAAAAGTACTTATTAGTAGCTTATAGATTCCACCAAAAGCCACAATCCTATTGCGGGCCACGTTAACTAACTACGCAGATGCCACTGCCCAAATATATTAATCATATAATAAAATTGCAAAACAAAAAGCCACAATTAAATTAAAAATATTTCAATTGCCGATAGATCTAGACCTCGATCACCATCATCTTTACCTTTTTATCAAATACTTCACTCTCCCATTTACCCACCCTGTCCATGATTCCTTTCAATCTTTCGTTCCAAACCCTCAGTGGCCAACTAGTCATTCTCCACTATCGCCAACTATTCATTACGTTAGTCATAATAACCCTCTCTCTTCGTCTAATATCTAGCTTAGACTAAGTTGAGTTCATTTGGTAAAATGAGCATGAAATGATAGAATGAATGGAAACAAAACAAAACACAGTTCAGCAAGTGATTAAGTCTTAAATTAGTCAAATTGTAAAAATCAAACCCATTAGAAGTTAGAACCAACTTGTATTTGTTTTAATGAATTCTATCAAACGTGACGTGACCATCTAAATATTTGTTATTAGTTTGGATACGATAATTAGTTGGATCATGGGGTTTACCCAAATCACTAATTACCATGTATTTATTAGAGGGTAATTGTTTTCTTATGTAGTAGCGGATAAGTGAGATCCATGTATTTATTACGGGGTTTACCCATATATTTATTTAGAGAATAACATCTGTCATTTTAAAGGATATAAGCTTATATTATTTTAGATCTTAATCGTTGATTTCTGTCTATCAATAATTATAATTTATTAGATCAAAATTATTAATTAATTAATAATAAATTTGGCTCATTAAGTTTGACCCAATAGATTATAACTGTTGATGGACGAAAATCAACGGTTAGGATCTAAAATGATATAAATTTTATATCCTTTAAAAGAATAGATCGATGTTTTTTCCATTTATTAATCACCCATTTATTTATTATGGGGTTTACAAAGACTTATTTGTGCAGGTGAGATCCACTTTCAGGAAGAGAGAAAAATAAAATAACGTGAGATCCATCTTGAATTTGTGTGTAGAACATATATTTTATCTTATATAATATAAGAATAATAAATCCCTTTATTATAAGAAATTTGTGGATATTCGATTGACATATCTTTTGGCATTTTGATGAATTTTCGTCAGTACAACATTTTCCTAATGGTTTTAGGATTGAAAAAACATCATCAATAAAGCCATGCATGCTGAGTATTGAATCAAACATTTAACAAAACCATCATTCATTGTTATTGAAGACTTACGGGGCGACGCTATTATCCCTAGGTAAATGCCAATGTTATTTATATAAGTAAAAATGACAGACCCATAAATTTTTTTTTTTTTAAAGGGGCGAAACTATAATGTAATTTTTCCTTTAAAGTTACAACTATTTATACAAAATAAAATATAAATAGAAATAATACTTACAATTAAAGGTTTCTGTAAATTTTAAAAGGGGAAGCATTAGATCATATATGACAAAAAAAATTAAAAATAATACTCATTTCTAAAGATTTAAATAAATTCGAAGGAGGACGAACTCTCCTCTTAGCCTGTCCTTCACTTACCATTGATAAGTAACTGTAGGTAATCAATTGGTAAAATTTCTGTAATGCCAATTATATTTGAAGGAGGATCCCTTCAATCATGTTAACAGTGTCCTTCAACTGATTCATTGAATTTTGGTACTTGCAATTGAAACAAATGCGTTTTTATTTTTATTTTTTGGGTTTAAGTTCTTTAATCTGTGTTAATGGTTCTATCAAATTTCTTTAATCAATTCATTCTTTCTATATTTGTTTGATTTCAATCTGCAATTTTGTCAATAACCTTAATTGCATATCCATTATCAGCATTATCTATAGCTTCCAGAATTATATAATTCGCTGTCAATGGCTTTGGTGATTATAATTCCAAAATCGATGACTTTGATTTTGGAACAAAAGTCACAATCTTGTGAAAATTTAGGATTCGCAATTTAATAAGAATTTATTATTTAAACTTTTGAATCTGCATAAAGATGTAATATTTGAAAAAAAAAATTGACTTTATAATTGATAAGCGTTTGTTGTTTGAATTGAAAATTTGAATCAACAATGAATTTTCTTAGAAAATTTTGGACTTATAATTTGAAAGAAATCAAATGTCTAAGGTCTTTGATTTTGAGGTTTTCCTTATATTTGATTTTCTTTGTTAAAAGCCAAATATAAAATCTTTTGGGTATTCATTTGAAAAGGCTTACCTGTGCATCAATTGTGAATCATTTTCAAGCTTTCATTCGAAAAAGTTTACATGTGTGTCGATTCTGCATCAATTTTTAAGCCTTATAATGAAAATGTATTTATTGTTATTGATATAATGATACAATATATATGTATTTACATTGAGGATTGATAAAGAATAATTTTCTTTATTGTTATTTTATTTTTAAATGAGTTTATTATCCCTAAATGTTTTTATTTAAAATTAAATATGATAGATTTTTTAGCCACCAAAATGCCAAATTTATAAAGGTTAATTTGATTTCAAATATGTTGATCATAAATATATATTATTTATGCGAATAATTATTGGCACAAAGGAAGGTAGTTGTTTGGCCAAATAATATATGTTGTATGATCATGTGTGTGTTTGTTGCTTATGCAGTTATGCATATATGTATATAATCATTGGATAGATAGATATCAGCGGCTGAGAAAGGAAGGTAAGACTTCTAAATCTTATTGGAAAAATGTTTATCTTTTTAAATAACACAATTTATATTCTTTCACTCTCACAAAGAGGTGAGATCCACATCTTTATTTTTTTTGTGAACTCTTTCTCTTCTCTTTTATCTATTTCTTTCTCTCTCTTAAAATAACATAATTTTACCCCTTAACTTTAACAGGTATTTTTCCCATATTTATTACCCTGAAATATCTCCCTGGAATCTCTCATCTTTATTCACTTTTGGAGAATTGTGTCTTGGTTATTACACTAACTACACTGTGACGTTCAAACAAATTCCACCTTTTTCTCGGCAAAATCTCGTCTCATATATCTTAGCCCTTTGTTTTCTCTCGAGAAGATTGTTATAAGTTTCGCTGTATGCAAGTCCTTGTTTACTACTCTCGAGAAGTTGAAAAAGAAAAATTCTTGTAATTGCTTCCCTCTGAAATTGGGTTGAATCGTGTGCTTATTGTTCTTCCTTAATTTTTTTTATTTTTATTTTTATTTTTTTGCTTGTGTTAGGTTTTTGTGTGGTGGGTACCTTGTGGGGAATTGTTTGCAAGCTTTGATCCACTGAACTGGTATGGTTTCTCTTTCTGATTCAGTTGTGAAAGCTAACGTTAATAGCTATGTAATTTGATAATGTTTTTTGTTTTCTCTTTTTTATGTTCTGTTTCTGAGAATCCGAGGGAATTACAAGGGGGAAAAAAAGATTCTTTTTTTATTTTTTTATTTTTTGGGTTTAATGTTGCCAAGAATTGTGAAAGTTCAATTCCCCATGGTCTTTAAAAGGTTTAATTGAACAACAGAAAAAAAAATGGAATTATATGGTGTTTAATTAGCTATATTATGCGGTTATTCTTATATGTTAAGTTTCCTAAAACCAAGTGTTCCTTCTTTGCAGAGAAGACTATAAAAGTATTTCGGAAATTGGGTTTGTGTCCATATGAAGTCCACTATGGCTCAGGCTCAGAGTAATTGGGAAGCTGATAAAATGTGGGTCACTTGCTAAATGCTTGGCTTTTTTCTTTTTCTTTTTCTTTTTTCCTTTTCAGTTTCTTCTTCTTTTCTGGGTTTGATGCTGATTTATTAGATCTCGAGATACATGTTATATTGATGTTTATTGGCTTCTTGGTTCTCTTGTGTTATGCTTCAGGCTTGACGTTTATATTCATGATTATTTTGTGAAAAGAAAATTACTTGTCACTGCAAAAGCTTTTATGCAAGAAGGAAAAGTTTCCACAGATCCCGTAGGTAAGATTGTTGGTCATTCTTTACAATCTTGTGTTGTAGCTTGCCCCATCATCATGGTGGTAATGTGAATTAGGTTAATATGTTTGTTTATTATTAGTTTATTGCTAGTCTAGTTCAATGGTTTAGAAGGGTTACTTTGTTAAACATGCAGAGATTGGTTCTTCTGATATGGATTTCTTCTAGGAGTTTACTTATCCTCTGATCTTGTGCTTCTTTTTTTATCTTTTCTAACAAATCTCGTCTTTTATTTAAAATTTATGGTTCAAATTCAATGGTCGTTATTTATAAGTTTATGCTAGTATATATGCTGAATGCTGTGGAACAATCGAGTATAAACATGAGTTGTATTGTTTGGTCTTTGACAGCAATTGATGCACCTGGGGGATTTCTTTATGAGTGGTGGTCTGTCTTTTGGGACATATTCATCTCAAGGACAAATGAGAAACATTCTGAGCCTGCTGCAGCTTACATTGAGGTGATCTCATCATGTAACATATGTGTTTTTTTTTTAGTTTTTGGTTCTTTTAAATAGTAGTAGCAAACTGATTGTTATATGGATTTGCTGTTGGTAGACCCAGCAAACGAAGGCCAGAGAACAACAATTTCAAATGCAGCAATTGCAACTAATGCAACAGCGCAGTGCACAGTTTCAGCGAAGAGATCCTAATCACCCTGCACTTGGTGGTTCCTTAAATGGCATGAACTCTGAAGGAATGCTGGGACAGCCGCCAGCTACTGTTTTGGCCATGAAAATGTATGAAGAACGAATGAAACACCCTCATTCAATGGATTCAGAGGCATCTCCAACTCTTATTGATGCCAATAGGATGGCCCTTCTCAAATCAGCAACAAGTCATCAAGGGTAAATAAATTTCCTTTGCTTTATAGTAACTGTGGGCTAGAGCCAAGAGTACTATTAACTTGATCTTAGCAACATGGATTGGACTGCTAATATTTTTTGTTCTTTTGCTGCCTCAGTCAGTTGGTTCATGGTAATTCAGGGAATATGTCTACTGCATTGCAGCAAATTCAGGGGAGGACTCCTTTGACCACTGTAACTTCTTTAACCATATGCTAAGTTAGCCATTTCATGTGTTTTTTCTGTTATTTTGAATTCTCTGTTTTCACCTCTTCCATGATAAGCAACTTGATACATTATGTTTATAGGACATCAAAGGAGAAGTTAACATAGGTGCCACTCCAAAGAGTTTGCCTATGGATGCATCAGTTTATCGACAAGCAATTTTACAATCAAAGTCTGGGCTAGGCAGTCCAGGTATTATTATTGTCTCCACCTTGAATTTGTCTTCTGTAAATCTTATTAGACATGGTGGAACCATTTCTGATGATTGTTGTTATGATTTTGATTTTCAATTATCCTTCAGGATTAAATCAAGGAGTTACAAGTCTTCCACTGAAGGGCTGGCCTCTAACTGTAAGTTGAATTTTATCTTTATCAATGTTGTTTCTCTAAAGTCTGGTAAACTCTTTGAGAGTGGAATATAACCTATCATTTTTTTACAGGGAATTGATCAACTAAGACCTAGTTTGGGTGTACAAGTTCAGAAGCCTAATTTGACAACCCAAAACCAATATCTTTTGGCATCACAACAACAACAGGTCTTGGCACAGGCTCAGGCACAAAATAACCTTGGAAATTCTACTAATTATGGTGATATGGATCCACGCAGACTTTGTGGTCTTCCTCGAGGTAGTTTAAGTGCAAAGGATGGTCAGTCTACCAGGAATGATGGATCTATTTGCTCCCAAATACAGTCAGGTTCACCTAAGGTTGGACTAGTTCTTTAAATATAAAAAAATATCAGTTAGGAAGATCTATGTTTGGCTAACATGCATAATATTTTACATGCACTATAACAATAATAAAGAATTAAACTATTTCCTATTATTATAAATTTATAATCTTTCCAATGATATATTAACTTCCATATTTCCCAATAACGTATCAATTACTATCACTCTCTCCAACATAATCAATGTTTTATCAACATTTGTCTAAATGAATATATTTTATAATCTTTTAAGATCTTGCATCTGTAAACTTCCTACTTCAAAATTATTTGATTGATTAATTTCTGATTCCCAAAATCCATGATATTGAGAATTTATAAGAATAGACAACTAAAGCTTAAAAAAAAAGGCAGCAAAGATATTCCTAAAATCTCAAGAAAGTAGAAAGTCACTTGAAGCATCAGTCTAGACCTGTGAAAACAGATTTCTCTTAACTTCTCAATATGAGAAGTGGATAAATTTCATGCTGACAGCCCCTCCTCGACCCTTCACTAATACACTAGCACCTAGAAAACTTTCCTGTCACCAAGTGGTTGTAATATGCTATTATCTTATCTCCTTCATGCTTGCTATTGATTCAGAGAGAAGATGCATCTCTTAAGTAGTCTGGACATGCTGGTCTTACTAATTAAATAGAAAAGCAAGGAAAAATATGTGCTTACTTTGTGTATAAGTTACCATTGTTCTATGCTTGATAAGGGTTAGAATATTTAGAGTATCTTGAAGATATTGTACAATATTAATTAAGATTATATCTTAATATAATTTAGATTATCCTAAAGGATTAATTAAATAGGTTTGGTTTTCCTATTTCCTTATATTTTATGATTTACTTCCTTATTTTAGGAGTCCCTTATTTAGTATGAATAGGGATTAGTGCTTTGTCCTTTGTGTCACGTTTATTACCTCATAACACATAATATTTAGTCTCTGTTATTCTCTCTATCTTTTCTCCTCCATCCATACCTAAACACTATAATTTCAACATGGTATCACAGAGGTACTATCCTCCGTGACTTGTCCTGTCGCTATTCCGTTGTTGAGTTCCCTAAAGTTTAAAACTCTAGTTTTATTCACCAAAATAAAAAAACTCTACTTTTTCATGATCGTACTCCTATCCAGTTTCAGTCTCCACTGCTATGTCGTCAATCCGGCAGTAGTCCCATATCTTCCAGTCACTATCTTCCGTTGTCTCTTTTCCGTGTCGCCTTTGCTGCAACTTTCTCTTGATCATACCAGTTGCAACATGACTTGGTCGACTTTTGTCTGAGACATGCTTTTGGTTGGGTCTCCTTAGTTTTGTTGTGGTTTGAAGCTTCCAAATAATGTTCTTAAATAACTTGAAGGAGAAGTTTTAGTTCTTGCTATGTATACTTGCTATGACATTTCCGCTGATGGTCATTCCAGCGAAGTCTCTTCTTCCTTGGTCAAGCAATATTTTAACTTGCTCTTCAGGCCTATAGTCATTCAACCCATACATTTATGCTGATGGTCATTCCAGCTAAGTTTCTTCTTCCTTTGTCACACAAAATTTCAACTAGCTCTATAGACAAATGGTCATTCCAGCCATTTTGCTCAGGTGTCGTTCAAGCATCCTTGAGTCGCCTTTCCAAACGTATTTTGTGGAGCCCCGCCTTTCCAAACGTATTTTGTGGAGCCCCAATGTATTATTTGGTTATTTTTTCTTTTGTAAAGGGTTTATTTGTAACGAGCTTAAAGCTTAATAAGCTTTAGCTTGATGAGGAGTGTTAGAATATTTAGAATATCTTGATGATATTGTACAATATTAAAATTATATCTTAATATAGTTTAGAGTATCCTAAAGGATTTCTTAGGATTAGTTTTTCTATTTACTTATATTTCATGATTTGTTTCTTTATTTTAGGATCTACTATTTAGCATAAATTAGGATTAGTGCTTTGTCCTTTGTAACCGCAACAATCACCTCATAACACATAATATCCAGTCTCTATTATTCTCTCTATCTTTTATCCTCCATCGATACCTTAACCCCATAATTTCAATAGTAAGTAAGCCATATAAACCAGTTTTGAGTTGGTAAACATTTACATTGTTCTTGGCTTTCTTGTATGATACAAATTGCAACAGTGTTTACTCTCATAGATCAATTTTATATATTTTGGTCTTTAATGGGTATCAAGCAGATGAAGATGACCCAGTCGCAACATTCATTATCTCAGCAGCAGGAGCAATTGCAGCAGCAGCAACTGCAGCAGGTTGTGCTGAATGTCACTCTGTTTTTTTGCCTTCTTTCTCTTCTTTGTATGGAATGTAACCAAATGGAGATGGTACTAAGTGTCCATCCTATACTGTTTCACCATTTTTGTATTTTTATTTTCTTTTGTGTTTGGAGAATGGAAGATGGGAGGGATCTGACAAGCATAATTATGTTAATATATTACTATCTTAATACATTTGGGGCTTCTGCTGTTATTAGATTCATTTGCAATGCCTTCATTTTATTTATTTATTTATCCCTCCCCAATTTGTTTCAAAGCTAATTAACATACTATCTCTGCTTTGTCATCAGAATACCAGAAAAAGAAAACAACATTCTTCTTCTGGAGCTGCCAATAGCACTGGTACTGGAAACACTGTGGGTCCTTCACCTAGTTCACCACCATCGACGCACACACCTGGTGATGGATTAAATACAACAAGCAGCATGCAGCATGTTAACAGTGTGCAAAAGAACATTATGATGTATGGTACAGAGGCAACAGGAGGCCTTGCATCATCGGCAAATTTGCTGGTAAATTTAGTTTATAGTTTTAGTTTGTGTGATCATATAAATCATGTCCCATGCACATTTGATTCGCTTTAATGTGTATAACAGCTATCTTGATAGTTGACCTGTTTGGCATACTTTTCATACTTTGTACTTGTAGCCCTTTGATCTTTGATATATATTTATATATATTTAATTTAGTTGTAATTAATTGAAACTCCTATGTTTCTATCCATTAATCTTGATAAAAACATTTGAGTACCCATGTTTTTTGGGAGGCTGAATTTGTAAGGTGAACAAATTATTGTGTTTTTCCGACACTCTTAACATTTCATAAAGCAGGAGGACATGGAACGATTTGGAGATGTTGGTGCTTTAGATGATAATGTGGAATCCTTTCTATCAAATGATGGAGGAGATGGTGGGAATCTCTATGGAACAATAAAACAGAGTCCGGCTGAGCAACAAAAAGAGTCTTCAAAAGGTAATCTGTGACACCCCGCTTTGACAAAAGGTGTTTTAAATCTATACGGTTTCGAGCGCACATAACATCAAAGTTAAATGGGAGACCAATATCATGAATTTTAGCTTTTCGGAATATATTGAAATTTACATTTTGCACGTACTCCAATATGCTTACTCTTCTATGTTGGGTTCTTTGACATATTATTAAGTCCTTTGTGCAACTAGAGCAGCCCCTAATGTTCTCTACTTCTTTTCTATATAAAAGTTCTACCTTTTATTTGGATTATTAGCAATTAAATTCAAGGATTAAGATATAATCTACAATCTGTGCCGGAGTTGAAAGTACACTTCAACTCGCATTTTAAGCATGCCTATGTTATGTTAGAATATAACTCATGGAAGCGTCTGCCACTACTCACTAGCCAAATGTTTTTTATTTATTTTTTTTATTTTTTTTGGAAAGAACTCTTAGCCTAAAGCTGTTCAAACTCTATTTAAGTACAATTTATAAAAAAAAATGTTTTGGTAAGGTTAATAATTTCCCCACCAAAAAAAGAGAGAGTACAATTTATAATAAGTTCTACATTGTGCAATCATGCATGAATTGGAATTTCAACAACCCTTGAACAAAGTAAAACAGCCAAATACAGTACTTACTTTACTGCAAAATACCTCACTAAATCCACATTCAACTACATCAAAGTTTACCACATAGAGCTGTCCATCATAAGTCTTGTGCAAAAATATAACAGCCCAAAATTACAACTTTCACAAACACATCATTAACAAAATATGCTTGTTAATACAATCAGTGATAATAGCATCATCCACACAAATAAACAGCCAAAAGAACACTCAATCCTTCTTAGGTTCAGCCTCTTGTGGCGTCTTTCCTGAAATGAAACCCCAAATAAATGGGTGAGATATGGATCTCAATAAGTGAAAGAAACTTTCCACATTTATAACCATAAATTCACCGGCATACTCCCATTAGTATAAGAATCAAATTCTGCCTGCAAATTAACCAGATCATAATCAACTGTAATAATGCAGTATGTTTGCAATTACTTTAATAATCACTGAGTTGCTACTATACGGTCATAAGACCATGGTTGTCAAACTCGCGAGTAAACTCGTACGAGTTTACGCTTCTAAACACCCTCAACGATTCCAATTCACCATAAACTCATTTTTGGCATTGACTTGTTAGAGACACTGTTTTTTTTTGCAAACTCGTAAGCTCGTATGAGTAAAACGATTCCACCAAAAAGGTTCTGACCCATGGACCCAGATTTTTTTACCCGAAATCCATCAAATAAATGGGATTTTTCAATGCAAAAAACCCCTAAATACCTGGAGGAAGCCACCACCGTTCCTACTCAGTGAGAGACAACTACCATCGGGCTTGGCTGCGCTCCACTGTCTTCTCCGACTCCGGTCTGTGTGTGTGCGGGCGTGCGTTCTCCACGTGCTCTGTCCGCAGCTTCGTCTTCGTTCTCCGTCCACAGGTTTCACCGTTGTGCCTTCGCCGTCGCAGGGTGGTGTTCTTTCTCAATCTCCTATGAGCTGCGTGACTGCCTCTGTTTCGCTTCGTTTATGCATCTGTTTACCAAAGCAGGCTTTGTCGATATTTTTTTTGTTTTCTCTCGCTTTACTTTCAGCTTCTGCCTCTGTTATTTATTACTTAACCAATTTTTTTTTATTTGATAAACAAAATTAGTTTTTTTTTCTTTTCTTGTTTTTGCCTCTGTTTCCTTTTTTTTTTTTTTTTTAGTATATCCTTTTTAATTTACTTGAAAAATCAAATTAGTCCACATTGAAAAATCAAATTAGTCTAGATTGAAAAATCAAATTAGTCATGCTTTCTCAATATTGCTTGCTGCTGGACCAATTAAATTGTGGTTAACTTTTTATTTTTTTGTGAATTTGAATGTTGTATTTTTTTAGAAAATGTCTTCAAGTGGTATTAATAGTAGTATAGTACTCCTTGATTATGACTATTGTATGACATTATTTTGCTAGTTGGTTGAATTAAATTTGCTTATTATATTACTTTATATGCATATAAATATATATAAATATAGGGAAAAGTGTTTGTCATTTTAAATGACATAACACTCTGTCATTTTAAGAGAGAGACAGACACAGAAAAAAGTTTTTATTTAAATTTTAAATTAAAAAAAATCACCTACTCTCTCTCTCCCATGATTTCCATTTTTCTGTGTCTATCTCTTTCCTAAAATGACATAACTTATATCATTTAAAATGACAAACACCAAACCCATAAATATAATATGTATCCAGTGTTACGATTTTACGATCCGTGTTACGATTCTGCGATTTACGATTTTGGTTCACCCTTCCGAGTTTGCGTAGACTCTCGAGTTTGACAACCTTGCATAAGACCACTTTCCACAATCATCTGTACGTGCCCTAGTTGACCCATACGTAAATTGAGCTCAATTACTGTGAGGCGTCCCTCACAATGTCAACTATCATACCTTAAATCAGGTATGGTACAAGTGCGAAAAGAACAGTAACATTCACTTTCTATACAATTTCTAAGCATACTCACATATAATCCATATCGTAGTCTAACTATATATAAAACATGTAACTTTGACACTATTCAGCCACTGGATATGTGTGAATACATGAATACATCGTTTAATAACCAAATTGATTACAACTGGGCATCTACGGGGGGATATATCTGGATATCTCACCTAAGATATCCGGACATACCTTGATAGATATCCGGATAGCTGGCATAAACATAGCAAATTTCAAATAAAATTGTAAAAACTACCAAACCTAAAGCTTTTGCTTCAAAACCATTCCAATACATTCCAGGAGCTTAAAATAAATTCACCACTTACAGACATTTGATTCTTATTAAAAAAAAAAAAATACACATGCTATTGATTTTTCTTTAAATACAAAGCACTGTAACAATTTCACACCACAATTCAAAATCTAACACATGGTCTAGCACATGGATGGATTTTAATGGCAGAAAGGATAGAGTTTCTTAAACTTACTTGGGTGGGAGTTTGTCCAAAGAGGGTTCAAAATTTAAAGTTCAAGTCTGGTTTACACTTTTCTTGAAATGCTTCTGATTTTCTCCTATTAGAGAGTACAGCTCTTTGATTTTTGCTCTGTCCTAGCTTTCCACAAGTCTCCAGCCGAGAGTACTCCCAAGAAAAGGGTGATTTGGAGGATCTCAGGTACACAAAAGAAGATTTTTGATGTGTTTGTAAGAGGTTGATGATTTAAGGGGGTTTGGATTGAATTTTCAGATTTTAGGAAGCATGCAAAAGGGGAGAAGTGAGGTTAAAGAAAATGAAGTGGGAAAGAAAACTTTCGTGTGAAGGGAGAAACGAAGATGAGTAGAAGGAAGGAAGTTTTCTGATTGTCCTATATTAGAGATCTTTAGGGAAGAGAAAGTTGAAAATAACCCTGCTTTTTAGCAAAAGGTGGGCATAAACTTTAACGGCATTCTAGTCCATCTTGGTTCTTAAGTGTTACAAAAATTTTGATTATTCAAAAAAAAATTCATTTCACACTATATTATTACAATACACAATTTACACAATGGCACACCAAAAAAAGTTGCTGGTCCTTACATAATCTTTATTTATGCCTCTCTTCTCTGTTTGTAAAGTATTATGGGAAAGTATTGTTAACCACATTTTATTTCAGGCTTCACCTTTGCTGAATTTAGTTGCATAAGGACAAGGAACAGCACAGTTACTTGCTGTCACTTTTCCTCAGATGGAAAGTTGCTTGCCAGTGCTGGAGATGATATGAAGGTAATTTGCTTGCACAATAAGGATAGTATGCCACATTTGAGGAATGCAGGTGGTGAACTTTATAGTTTTATGTTCTTTTCATCTGAAAAGAGTATTCTAAGGAATTTGGTACTCTGTATCATGCCTTTCTCTTTGTTTCTTAATTAGTATATTTTGTTCCTAAGCATCTTGCTTTGGCAACATTTTGTACCAAGCCTTATGGCACTTGTAGTTTCATGTTCTCGTGAATTATCTCATTCTAGAGTTTTGCTATTCTGTCATATATTATATGCATAATGGGATTATTGTGATTGATTTGGTTGTGCACATAAATGATGTTTTATTTATTGGTAAGGCTGAGACATTGGTCTCTAATTGTAATTTTCTATACAATTTTCTTGCAATTTATAAATACTAAATAGTTGCTTATGTTAATTTTTCGTGGGGGCATGTATTAGGTTGTCCTCTGGAACATGGACACTTTACAGACAGAGAGCACTCCTGAAGAACACAAATCAGCTATTTCAGATGTCCGTTTTAGACCAAATTCATCTCAGTTTGCGACAGCCTCATTTGATAAATCTGTGCGGTTATGGGATGCAGCCAATGTAACAGACTTTTCCCAATTTGCATATAAAAATATGTTTAAGTTGTACATCTTATGTTTAAAACTTGCAGCCTAGATTATAGCTTCTTCAGTCTTTGTTCCCTGTGTGTGACAACCATTCATCTTTTGCAATTATATTATACAAATTACAATTAACTCTTTCTTCTCTCCTTTCAATGCAGCCAAGCTATTGTGTGCAAGAATATAGTGGGCACAGTTCAGCTGTAAGGTCTCTTGATTTCCACCCTAAGAAGACTGATCTTTTCTGCTTCTGCGATAGTGAAAATGAAATTCGGTATTGGAACATTACTTCATCCTCCTGCACCCATATATTAAAGGTTGGTTAAGTAAATGCATTCTATCATTTTCTCTTTGAACAATTTATCCTGTGTCCCTAATATTTTTTGCAATTGATTGTTTCAGGGAGGTAGAGCACAAGTGAGATTTCAGCCTAGACTGGGACATGTACTGGCAGCAGCTTCTGATAAAGTAGTTTCGATTTTTGATGTTGAAACTGACAGACAAATTTACTCACTCCAGGTAAAATCTGTTGTATACTTGCCTATCTATAGTATAATGTATTCCCTTTCAAACAAAGATAATTAGATTGTACAATTATAAAGATAAATCTGAAATCCTTCCTTTCTGTATTGATGGTTACTATGAAAATTTCTTGTCAGCTAATTCCTAAATGTTGGATGGAATTTATTTCCATTTTCTCTCAGCCTCGTTTTATTTTTTTCATGATGTCCTTCTTTTATCCAATCTCAACATTATTTAGTTAATAGTATAGATAAAAGAAAGAAGTTGATAAGGTGAATCAACAAGCACATAAGACACTAGCATTTGTAGGTGGAACTGAAGCTTGGTTACCTTATGCAACAGTGTGATCTTTTTTATTTCAAGATTTACATCTTTGAAGGATTTTGTGGTTAAATCATTTGTGTTTGTAGGGTCATCCTGATCCGGTGAACTATATTTGCTGGGATGCGAATGGAGATCACTTGACATCTGTGAGTCAAAGTATGGTGAAGATTTGGAGGTTGGCTTCAGGAGAATGCATTAAGGAGCTGAGCTCCAGCGAGAACCAGTTTTATTCCTGTGTTTTTCATCCAAGTTATTCATCTTTATTGGTGATTGGAGGGATATCGGTGAGTTTTTTCATTACCTATTGTAATGAACAGATGGATTCAAAACTAAGCTACTGAACTGCATGCATTAGACACTCAGCAAAACTGCACCCATTCACTCTTAACATCGCAAACATCCTGAACGCAAAACGAAAAGAAAAAATAAATCCAACATGAATGGACAATGGTTTTTTTTTAAATAATTCATGTTTCTTTATGTAAGATATATTATGAATTGAATCATATATCTGCCATAAATTAGCTAACATTCTTCATTTCTATGAGGGTGGTTAGCAAATCTAAGATAAGGTGATTATCAAAAGGAAAAAATAAATGTTTATCTTGGCATGTTTTGTTAGACATTTCATTTGCTGTGATGATCAGTTGCTATTTTACTGATTTTTTTTTCTCTCTGTGGTCTTTAGTCCTTAGAGCTGTGGAACATAGCTGAGAACAGAAGCATGACAATTTCTGCACACGAGAATATAATATCTGCTTTGGCTCAGTCTCCTGTCACTGGAATGGTTGCCTCTGCTAGTCATGACAGCTGCGTAAAGTTGTGGAAATAAATTTCAGATTTTTAGGTTCTAATATTATATTCTTTTGAGTCACTTTATTCTAAAAGAATTCAGAGATCTATATTGTAAGCAAAAAGGGGATCTCTGAACTTTGTTTGCAATAATGTATACTAGACTACAATTACATAATAAAATTTTGTATTATATTTATAGTCTTAAGTACTGCAACTTAGGTATTGCACTAATTTGCAATGCTATTGTCATTTGTGTCTTATTGTATATTTAATTTGGATCATCAAAGTACTAATGTTATAACTAGTGTGCCTTGCTAATAGATTTCGATGGCTTTGTGTGATTTATTTGATCAACATTGCTTAATGGCTATGTTACAATACAGAACAAGGGGACAGCAACTGAACCATATAAATTAAAGGTTATGTATTTTAGCATTTCGAAGCTATTGTTATGGAAGCTTAATTTGTTTCTATTTTCTTTAGTCAAGTAGGATGTAATATTTGTTGTTGGTGTAATCTCATTTTGTATTCCAGTTTTATGATTCTTTTTCGAGTCAATAAATTTACATTTGAGTCATTAAGAGAATATATTATAAAATCGGTATTTTAAAATATTATTATTAGATTAAAATTAAATCAACGGTTATAAAATGATATCAAGTGAGAGCCATTAATTTGATTTTGATCCAACAATAATAATATTAGAATATTGGATGTAAGAGGTGGTAAAAAAAAATGATAATAAGTATAATCTATCTGTTCATTATATAATTGCTGAAACAATAATTATGTAATTATATAATTGAATAATTATGTAACTACATACATGATTATATTTGAGTATGACAATAAGTGCTTAAATTACAAAAGGATTGGATTGGATTCGATCGTTGTTCTGGGACATGTCTACCTGGAGGCTTAGTTACGTTTTAACTTCTTTTTTTCTTACTGAAATCTAAATACAAAATGCATTAACCGATTATTGACTACAAATGATCATAAATAAGATAAGTGATTAAAGAAATAAGTAAATAATTACAAATGGTTTTTGAACTTTTTCTTTAAAATTTAGTTTTAAAAAATAATTACATTTCTCAGTTTATTTTTTTTGAAACTGAAACACATCATTTTTTGTTTTAAAAATTATTAAAATTAATCATTTATAGTTTTAAAATATTTTTCTGTTTTGATTTATATTTTTCAAAATTTTCCTTTAGTTCAAAAAAATTATTGTAACATACTAAATACTAGCTACTAGTTAAGTAATACCATTCTGCATACCAAAAAAAAAAAAAAAGTAATACCATTCCTTTTCATGCATGTTGAGTTAATCAATTCTCAATTATGCCTATTTTATGATAAAAAAAAAAAAAAATACCATAATTTTTTTTTTTTGTAATATAAATACCACAATTTTAGCTTGGGATAATAATTGATTAAAAATATTAATTCAACATTTTTTTATTTTTTAATGTAAATAATTAAATATAAAAATAATATTTTTAATGTTTTAGGAGATAAATTTTATCTTATATATATAAATATATATAAAATAAGATTATCTCATACAAATTAATAAACATTAATCCCTTTAATATATGAGTGTTATTAATATGATGTTAAACAAGATAAGTTATCAAATATGTGTATGAATTTTAATGTTGTATGCATTGCTGTATATGAAAATAATCAATTATAGAGTGCATAATTATTTTTTTATTTGCATAAAATACTGACACGATTCTTTCTTTTAGCGATTAATCAATAAAAAATGTTGACAAGATTTTTAATCATTTTCCCTAGTGCATCGCGCGCACTGGTGCTTGCACTAGTTTGTAAAAAGTAAAATAAAAAAACTCATCCCACTTTTTATTACTGCAGTCGAGAAAACAGAAATGTTTCCCCTTAAAATATAAAAAATCATTATTATACAAAAATAAAAATAAATATATTACCCTACAAAATATGTGAATAAATATATCGAACGGTTTCGTTAGCACACAATTCTGAACCCTCTGGGATACCCCATTGTCTCTCGTGTGTTCCAGAACATTCAGAAAATGGAGAACGACGCATTCATAGATCAAAACTTTGTCGACAATGAACAAGAAGAAATCTCTGATTCCTTTGTTTGCTGCGTTTGTCTGTAAGTCTCTTTTACAGCGTTTCAATTACATTTCTTTTTCCTTGAAGAAAAGAGAGGAAAGAAAAACACCCTTCTCTATGCTATTTGTGAATGTTCAATTTTGTTCTTAAATTCTTATTCAAAATCCAAAAGGGTCATCAGGGATACTTTTTTTTTTTTCTTAAAAATGAAATTTATTTATGAATTAAGTTGAAGTTGATGTGAACAATTGGAAATCTTTTTTTTTTTCTGATCTGAAATTGCTAAGCATGCATTGTATATCTGCAATTTCAATTAAATACTTAATTCATTGATCATGATGTAGCTGTAATTAGAAGAGGAAAAACTCAGCCTGGGTTTTATCAAGTCAGAGTGGTGATTGATAATTTTTATTTTTTAGTTTTTTTAAATGTAAAGATTTGACTCCAAACCCTCAAATGTGACTCTTTCTTGCTGCTTGATACAGATTCATGAGCTTTAAAGTTTTAATTATATTGTTTAAAGTTAAAGGATGAAGCTGAGTTTGGACCTTTTGGTTGTTGTGTTATTTTAAGTTGTTATGAGCTGCCTTATTTCTTTAGCTGATTTTGACTTTACTTTCATTATGCAGGGATGTATTGTACAAGCCTATTGTGCTATGTAAGGCAGCATTATTTTCTAGAAAATATATGAATATGTTGTTAGTGTGATAAGTTCTCAGCCTTTCCCCCCTATTTGCAGCTTGTGGTCACATATGCTGTTTCTGGTGCGTCCATAAATCAATGAATTGTCTGCGCGAGTCTCAATGCCCAATTTGTAGGAATCAATATTATCACTTTCCAACAGTCTGCAAAATGCTTCACTTTTTGCTTCTTAAGATCTATCCTCTTGCTTACAAGAGAAGAGAAAATCAAACTCTTGGTAAACCTTGTTTTCCAATGGCTTATGCATGAGCATGTTAAAATATATGTGCAGTGTTCCTTATACAGATATTTTTTGTAAAACATTTTATTTTATGTGATCTTTCTGTTAAAGTAAGCTTTAGAGAGAGGTGAGCTTGCAAGTTAATTTTTTTTTAAATATTTTTGCATTCACATATCAGAAATTACTTTTGTAAAACTATTGCAAACGCACAATCAACGTACACTCAAATATAATCTAAAAATAACAAAAAGAGAAATAATTAACAATTATTGAAAAGTCCTAAACTATGGAATAAATTATAGAAAAGCCCAATCCAAGTCAGTCAACTCGGGTGCATCATTATATCTTATATATTGGGGGATATTAATAGATTAAAGTCATTAGCGGATCAATTAAGATGCCAACTTTGTAAATTGTAATGTCATGCATGTAAATTGTTGGCTATGTCACTAACATCCGTGAGTAGCTGGATGACACACTTCCTGCACCTTCTCATTCCACTATCAAGTTTTCTTTGTTTGATGTTTGTTTCCTTTAATTTCCTGTAACACTCATCTTTCCATTCTTTGGATACAATTTGACATCTCGTTCTACATTATATTTGCATCTCCATCTAGCTGCTACTGTCCTTTTTGAAGCATTCTCTCCTTAAACATTGGCCAGAGATTTACATACGTGAAATGATGCTTTTATGAAAAAAGCTTTCTATTGACTAGTGAATTTAATATATTTAAATGTATTATTTTATTATGTTTAAACATGTTGTTTTATATCTTATATATTGGGGGATATTAATAGATTAAAGTCATTAGCGGATCAATTAAGATGCCAACTTTGTAAATTGTAATGTCATGCATGTAAATTGTTGGCTATGTCACTAACATCCGTGAGTAGCTGGGTGACACACTTCCTGCACCTTCTCATTCCACTATCAAGTTTTCTTTGTTTGATGTTTGTTTCCTTTAATTTCCCGTAATACTTCTATTTCCATTCTTTGGATACAATTTGACATCTCGTTCTACATTATATTTTCTTCTCCATCTAGCTGCCACTGTCCTTTTTGAAGCATTCTCTCCTTAAAGTTGATTTGTTTTTCCTTGTTTAACTTCCACCATCTTTCTATGGGGTTCTAAGCACTTATTTGTCGTACTTTGTTGTATCGAATCTCTACAAGCACCAACTTATGTTGCATAGTATATACTCTCCAAGGTAGACTTTGCAATCTACAGACAAGGCTCTATCCTCTATTCTAGCAAGAAAGCAATCAATTTGGCTATAATTGTGACCTAAACGAAAAGTATTTAGATGCGACTCTCTTTTCTTAAAAAGGTATTCACAAACATCAAATCATATGTTAATTAACTCTTAAAAATTCTTTGCCAGCCTCATTTCTAGTCATATTGCCAAAAATTTTATGAACACTGTCAAAATCTTCACTACTTTGTCCAATATGTCTATTTAAATCACCTCCTATGAGTAGCTTCTCCTCGCATGGTACCCCCTTAAAACCTCCTCCAGATCTTCCCAAAATCAGTTCTTATTGCATACTCATAGTCCAACTTAGGGAGTATACAGACCAAGGATATTTAGGATCAAATCTCCCACTACTAGCTTAACCAAAATGATTCCTTATTCTTTTGACATTAACAACTCTATTAAACCAAGGTTTATGATATTGTTATACCTCTCCTTACCTAATTTCAGTTTATGATAGATATTATTGTACCTCCCCTCCCCTAGGTAGTTGATTCTTGTGATTAGGGGCTTTTTTTTTCTGATTAACTACCAGAGAACATAGGAGAAAACTTATGTTAAATAGGAAAAAAAAAAATTAATCCTAGCTGCCTAAAGTACCTGTCTTCTCCTTTCACTCGTGAATGATCTCTAATTTATTATGTTAGTTTAGGTTTCCTTCTCCTTTAGTGGACTGTGGTGCATAAGCTTTCTAACTATTTGTTTCCTACTCTTATATGAATCGTGGGCCCCTTGCTGTTCACTTTCCGCCTAGTAGGTGCATTTTAGGATTTTCTATTTAATTCAACTTCTCTTAGTAACCATAACACACTTGAATACTTTTAGTGAAACAGTCCCTTCAACAGTGAAATGCTTGTACAAAGTGAAATACATTGGCATTGGTCACAAGCTGCTTGAACATATGGGGAGTCCCTTAATGTATTTCTGCAATTTATGACAAATATGTAAAAAATTATTAGTTATTAGTTTCTCTAAAAGAAATACTTGATGATGTTATAAAATTGTTAGAATTAACTTGTATCTTGATGTGATAAGGCCTACTTTTTATAAGGAAAATATATTATTCTAGGATATTATCACATTCCTACCAGTATAGGTATATGTATTGGTATGAAAAAGTTACTAGAAAATAGGGTACTGGTAAGGGAAGATATGTAATATAAAAAAATAAAAAATATAAACAATCTAGTACTTAAGCACATTAACCAAGCAAAAGATATCTATAGAGGACATAGACTTTGAGGTAAGCCTTCATATCTGGAGCAAAATGTTGCATTTCTGGTGGACCGGCTTGAACTTGAGTCATAAGAGCTCATTACAGTGCATAACTAAACCGCATCAGGACATATCTGATAAAATAGTTTTTCAAAAAACTATCCTTGTGTATCCTCCATTAAGTACCCATGTGTACCTAAGAGTGCCCATACCTGATATTTACGGGATACTTGGAGACTTATCGGAGTACCCATGCGATCTAGACTAAAGCAGAACAGCATTGATAAAGTTTTGCTGCTCTGTTTGAATTTTTTGGTGATGTTTTATGGATACCCTGAATTTTATTGTACGATTTTGTTATTTTTTTTTAATTGCATTCTGGGTATTTCTTGCACACTGCTTGAGAATGCAGTTTTCTCCTCCCTGGATGTGTTCTAGTAAATTTGTATTTATCATAGAAGTAATCCTTTTGCCTACTTTATTGGGCTAAGTTTGACAATCATTCTTTATTCACCTCTTGTTTCAGAGGAAGAAAAGACAACAGGCTTCTACTCCCCTCAACTTGATCCTGATAAATGGGGATCAGAAGCTAAATTTGGTCATTCTGGCAGCCCTTCATCCTCCTCTACTGTAAATCTGGTTTCCAACTCATGCAATGTGGGAACTTCTGAGTGTATCGAGCAATCAGGGGCCACCACCCATGAAGGAGATGAAGGAACCATCTATTCTGAACACTCTTCTGATGGAGAACCTGTAAATGTAATTATTGGGACTCCTGTTGAAGGAAAAAAATTGCCTCAGGATGATCTTTATCTACAACAGAAAATATTAGTTGCAGATGTGATGTGTACATTGTGCAAGCAAATGCTATTTCGTCCTGTAGTTCTTAATTGTGGTCATGGTAATCGATGCATTTAAGTTTTCTTTCAATTATAACTGATCAAGATCATCAATAATAGAACACTTAGTTGGCATATTGTTTTTGTTCTACTTTTTCCTTATTATCTACAGCATTCTGCGAAACTTGTGTCAGCAACTTGGCTGATGAGATGCTTAGATGTCAAGTTTGTCGAAGTCCACATCCAAGAGGATTTCCAAAAGTGTGCTTGGAGTTTGATCACTTTTTGGAGGAACAATTTCCTGAAGAATATGCACGACGAAGAGATGCTGTTGAACTAAGGGAAATCAAAGTCAATCCTGAGACCTCTTCTTCTTGTATGTATATTTGCCTACATTTTTTTATATACGCTTGATATCTTGAGGCATATTATTTGATTGAAATCATTGGAATATGTGTAAGCTTTCCTTTAAGAATATGTTATAATATTTTACATGGTTTGGCCTGTTTAAGCATTGAGAGTTAAAGCTTTTCAAGCATTTGCACTAGAGAGAATAGTTGCAATTAATAGAACTAAGTATAATGCACCAAAACTTTTATATACTCTAAGGATTCAAATTCCATGGAGAAAATTATAACTGAAAAAATGCATCGTGTGATTTGGAGTTACATTGTGTCAAACCTATAATATTTCATTATGGCCATCAAAATTTATTTTAAAAAACTGCATATCTTAGATTATAGAGTAAATTACATTGACTTTCCCTAAGAATTTGCCTTACCCCTACCTCTCTTCTAGTTTAATAAAATACACTGACCTTCCTTGTCTTTGATTTTTCAGTTTTCACCTGTACTGAAGGGGTTGCATAGAATATGAATGTTATTTTTGAATTGTGAATGGTGACGGATCAGGAGTCTTCCGTATAGTGAAATTGATTTCAGATGTGCAGGTCTTATATTAGTGCTAGATGCAATAAGGAAACCTTAGAAATATCATTTGCAAGAAGAGTATCAACTTGCAGCCTTCTATATTTGATTTTGGTTTCCTTTGTGCTTGATTTTGTATCTGAAAAGTTTTAACCTTTTTGAGCATATATTTTTTTGAAAAGTGCATCTAAAATCCCTTGAACTTTGGCCCTGAAAACAGCCACCATGAACTATAACACATTTTAATTTAGTGTCCTGGCATGATCCTCACCCTCAATTTAATTTAGCCACCGTCTGCAAACAGCCACCATATCATTTATATCATTAGTTCCTTCGATGCACTCTTTGTTAAGTTGCTAATAGTAACCTAGCATGATCCTCACCTCTTGCTAATAGTTCCTTTGATGCACTCTTACTAGAACCTTAACCATCATGTCAGTTGTAACTTCCTCTCCACTCATCTACTTCCCCAAAATCCCAATCATCTACTTTCACCTCTGATCTGGGTTAGTGGGTGAGAGTGGATGTTCAACCCAAGATAGGGTGATCAGGGTTTATATATGAGCTGGGATGAGCTCCTAGTATAGAAGACCTAGACTCAATCACGTCGGTCAAGGTGCCATAGTGCTCAGGCCACTGTGTATACAACTGAGAAAAGGAGGAAGTGTGTGTGTTTAGGGCTTGGTTCTGGTAAGAGGATGAAGGTGAGAGAGAGATCTGAATGTAAGATCGTGAAGAGTTAATGATCAAAAAGTCCTCGGGTGTGAGTATACCCTTTATGGAAGGGTGGAATCTTCTTAAGTTTCATGCAATGGGTGCCAAAACTGTTAGCCCTGGACCCACGCCGTGCAAGTCAGGGCTGCATATCACAATCATGAGATACGCTGTGTGAAAGAGTGAGGGAAATATCGGGTGAAGGGATGTTTTGTGTTGTAGTGGGATGATGGATTGGGCCCCAAGTTGGGCCTAAGGCACTCATCCATAACAACCTTGTAGTCATTCTCTGAGCACCAGTAGCCTCAAGATCCTCAACATCAAAGCAATTGATTCATGTGTCAATCCCAATGAGTCTTTGCTCGGCATTTTCCTCACCTTCCAAATTCAGCATAGCTTGTTGCTCATAGTCCCCTATCTCCAACGCATCCTAATCCACTTGGAAAACCCACCTGGATTCCATGGAATCTACCATTAATTTACCATCAATGTTCCCTCTTTGGGGTTCCCCCTCCTCAGCCATTGCCCAAAAAGTTGCAAAACTCGAATTAAAAAATAAGAACTGTGCACAATTGATGTAAATGTGAAAATGATATGGAAATCTTTGGGTTTGGCATAGAAAATGGGACTGTGAGAGAAAATTTGATGAATTTGACGGACTGTGTTTGCCATAAGTGGGGTCACAGTTCATTTTAGTTGAAGAAGAAGAATCCTTAATGCAAATTGAAAGGAGGCTATTGGGGTTTTGCGCAAAATGATGGGAGATAGAGGCAATGTCATTGGCGAGAGAAACTAGTTCATCATAACTTGCTAATGGAGAGTGAAAGGAGGTCATTGGGATTTTTGGGAAGAAAATGAGAGAGAGAGAGAGAGGTGTCTGTTTCTGCTGTGTTTTTTTATTATTAGTTTTTTAATTAAATAGAATAAAAATAAATTAATATGAAGGTTGTAAAAAATCAATTCAACTCAAAAACTTAAGCTAGTGAGTGAAGGTCATCAATGGTTTATATATTTCTCTAATACGTCCCCTCACACAAGAGCCCACTGGGCATGAAGGGTGGATAATGCACAGGCTTACCTTCTTGTGCTAAGAAATTTCACGAGAAAGGGGGGTGTAAGGATCGAACCCGTGACATTGAGGCTCTGATACCATATAAAATGCCAATTCAACCCAAAAGCTTAAGCTGGTGGGTGAGGGCTTTTTAATGGTTTATACTATTCTCTAACACGCCCCCTCATACGAGAGCCCATTGGGCTTGAATGGTGGACAATGCGCAGGCCCACCTACCTGTGCTAAGAAACTACATAAGATTTGATTAATTATTAATTAAATGGGGGCGGTGAGAATTGAACCCGTGACACTAAGGCTCTGATACCATGTAAAAAACTATTTTAATCCAAAAGCTTAAGCGAGTGAGTGAAGGTCCATCTGTGGTTTATATACTTCTCTAACAAAGGCTACGGATTGGGGATGGCTGGAGGCCCAAAGGGTAAGGATCTTGCCACGTCTCCCCTCCACTAGCAACTTAACGGAGAGTGGGTGGAAGGGTCTATTAAAGTATTAATATAATTGATATAATTTATGGACTAAATTGGAATATTTTGTAGTACATGGTGTCTTTATAAATGGGCCAAATTTTAGGGGATCTGAATGCTTTTTTCCCTATTGATTATTACTGGGTCAACATTAATTTTGACCCATAGCTCTATTTACATTCAGCTATTCCCTTCAACAGTTTGAAAATACCATAGCCCTGTTTCCGTTCAATGATTCTGTTAAATTTTTTATCCTTGACTCCCACAATAAAAAGGTTCTAGCTTTGCTCCCAACACTTACGAACCTTTTGCATAAGCTTGTATTCACGTCTTTGTTGCATTAAAACTCCTTCACAATTTTCAAACTCATTACATCTGTCATTGTTGTTGGAATGTTGTTGCATTGGAAGCCCAACCTACGGTTCAAGAACATTTAGCATGTATTTGCAATATTGAGACTTACTTTTTGGCTGCATATTTATTTTTATTATGAGTGGATCATGCATTTTACAACATATTGATGTTTTGCATAATAGCTTGTATCTTCATTTCATCCTGCTTGTATTTGCTCTGTGCATGTTGGATCACATTTTCTACTCCTCTTTTGCTAAAATGATGAGTTGATCTCGGAGTTTCGTATGGTCCAAAACCAAGTGTGTTTTAAGTGAACTTGGTTTCTTAGAGTCTAAGTTAGATTAGGTCTCCAATCAAGCTTTATTTTTAGGCTAATTAGAACTTTTGAACTCTACTTACTTAGACTTTCCAAAGTAATTCATTTTTCTCAAGTCTGTAATTGATATGGAATCATATGAGTTAGGTCTCTGTTTTAATCCTTAATGTACTTGAATTCTAACTTGGCTTCCAATTGCCTTGGACTTCTAGGTTGGTCGGCCTTCTAAGTTAACAAGCATTCTAAGTTCATAAGAATTCTAAATGGAGTTGAACTTTCACTTTCAAGAGTTTTCGAGAAAATTCTACATTTTTTCCCTAAGCCTTGGGCCCTAGGTGGTGTTATTAGTTGGTCAACGACTTATGAAGAACTGAGTAGACTTTAATTTCCAAGTGTTTGTAATACATAGGCCACTTAAGTCTTAATTATAGGTGTGACATCAAGACAATCATGTGTTTGCATGTTTGCTTGTACATCTTATCCCAATGCATGTTTTGTGTTCCTATCGTTATCTATTGCTACCAGCTTATGTATGTGTTTGGCATGTGATATTTTTTTTGTTTTAAGTTGTAACGCCCAATAGCACTTTGTCCATATATGAACCAACCCTTGGTCAGGCATGCTAGCTAGCTTGTGTCATGGCTTCCCTAGTTCTTTGTCCTAGTCTCCCTCCCTGGTTTCTCTAAACTAGTGTTGAAATCAATGAGCTCATTTTATAAGCTCCTTTTTTTCTTTATTGTTCTCTGTTGAAATTATAGGATTTTAGGTGGGGAAGAAGTAAAAGAGAGAATAAAGACTGAATAATCTTAAATGAGGCAGGATATTCTTACACCGGTGTAAGAGTTAGAAGTCTTATACTCAATCTTGACCATTGATCCACTTGTATCCAATGACTCACATTACTAAAATATTTGAGCCCTTAGATATAAGTGGGATCAGCGGACAAGATTGAGAGTGTAACTTACACTGGTGTAAAATGATCCTAACCCATCTTAAATTGATACTAATTTAATATGACACAAAATACAAAACACTAACCTGTATTTGTACTAATATTAGACTCCTAGTTCTAATTAAATAAGAAAACAATTCATGAAATAGAGTGATATATGGAAACCACTCCAAGAGACCATCTACATTACTATAAAATATTCTAAAATACGTTATATTATGAAATATTCTCTAGATATTCTAACATTCTGAAAACAAAGGCAGTGCCTTGCATTCTTTCTTTCCCAAGTGACTGATTTATAGGTCATACAATATGGTGTTTCTTTGATGCTGTTATTCTGTTTTTTGGCATTCTTTTAGTTATTATGCCATTTTCTTTTTTCAGGTTCATTGGATAATGGTAACAAAGAAGAAAATACAGAATGGTGGTCTGATCCTGAGTCAAAAGTTCACATTGGAGTTGGTTGTGATTTTTGTGGGGTAAAAGCTAGTCCACCATATCTTGCATTTTTGTTGATTTGTGATTTTTTATTTTTATTTTTTTGGTTGTGAGGGGGGCGGAGGGTGGGGAGGGTTTGGATTGGTGAAAGTGGAATTGAATGTGAATATTACTACAATATTAACATACACTTCATCTAATTTAACTCATAATTTAGATTTGGGCTCTTATCTTACATGACCATAAATATCCTGTTCTAGCTCCAAACCTGTAATTTTATTGTTTTCAAGTTGATCTATATATGGTTTCACTTGACAACTGCATTATACTGAAAGCCATATCTTGTATATTATTCCAAAGTGATAATTGATATGATCTTTTGTAGGATTTCCCTTTTTTTAAGAGAGCATGTTATCCTTTTTAATTTTATTTTTATTTATTTTCGATTTTATCCTGTCATTTAGCTTTAGCAAAGAAGACAAGGGATTTAATACTATTGTGTCCATTTGAGATGCCTAGCTGAAAAGTCATATTTACTTTTTTATTTTATTTTATTTTGTATTTATCTCTAAGTTGCAGCATCCATAGTTCCATACTATTATACTTCTAGTTTTCTGCAGTGTGGTAATGTGTGGCTTTTCTATATAGATGTTTCCAATCATTGGAGATAGATACAGATGCATTGACTGTAAGGAGAAGATGGGTTTCGATCTTTGTGGTGATTGCTATAACACCCGCTCCAAGCTTCCAGGCCGATTTAATCAACAACACACCTCAGAGCACAGATTCAAGCTTGTACAACACAACATTATGCGTAACATAATGTTGAGACTGGTCACGGGACAGTTAGGGGACAGTTCTATGGACAGTGAGTCTTTTGGAAATTTAGAATTTGCATCCGAAGGGACCCCTTTGTTTGATGATGGAGATGATAACCAGAATGATTCTGAAGACCCCAATTGAAAAATTGAACTTTCTGATGGGGGTTTTAGTGGATAACTTCTTGGTGATCTCACAGATAATGCTTCAAGTAAGTTTGCAAATCAAATTGGTTGGGAATTCTCAAATCCACATGGGTCTATGTGATTTTCCTAATTTATGCTAACATTGGCATTAGTTTTCCATCCCAACTAAATTTTTATCCAGCTTGTGGCAATCCGTGAATATTTTCAGCCAATGACATTAGATGCTGGAAATTTTGTTAGGCCCTTGATGGTAAGAATCTTCTACCTTACTATATGATAATATTCAGGAATGTACATATTCTTAGAGTTTGCCTGAGATATATGAAAACGTGATTATTATAATAATTGGTATAACATTCTAAATAATTTACCACTGAACAGTGTGTATTGTCCTATGTGATTATTTGAATGTGATGTATTATATGATTTGAAAGATCTTTAAATTATGTTACTTTTCGAAACTAGTAAACTTGTGTTGTCAAGGTGCTCTTATTTTTCATTTGGAAACATTGAGTAGCAAAGCAGTTTCTTTTATGAGCTGTATCTGCTAAGGCATCAGAGGTAGGTTCTATTTATATTGAATGATCCATAGTATAGATGTTGATGCGAGCGAACCTTTTGTCTTTCTCTTTCTTTCCCTCATTTTTTAAGATATGTCTAAATATAGTTTAGACTTTAGACTACTAGATTATAATGTGAAAATGATTATATAAAAAATGGGAGTTACTAATCTCATGTTGCTTGAGATAGTTCTCTCATGTGGATGAGACAAATATGCGGGGTTCACAATTTAAAAAAGAAAAGACTGGCACAAAATTTGATGAGTATATAGCATAAAATAGCTATTTCCAATAACATAAAACAAATATTTCCCATTAATAATACTGGCTGTCCTTAGTTTTAATGTTGCAGCAAACTTTAGGCAATAACTTGAAGGCACAAGACTTGGAAAGATAATCCACCAAAACCAATAAAAAGACTTGGAAATATGATAAACGTCAGTTTATTTTTTAAAGAATTGATTATTTTCCATAACAATAAAAAGATATCATGTTGGGGAAATATTTTGAAAGCGAGTTCCAATTTTTATAATTGTGTTATAATCTATAAAGTTTTATAGTTGCTTGAATAGTGATTTACATTTACGTACTATCAGTGTTAATATTGGCATATTTGGGTTGATGAAACAAAATAAAATAACGGATTAGTTCTTGCCAATAACAATGCTCACTGAATAAAAACATTAAACTAAAAGCCCATACAAAATGAGCACCCAAGAAAAAAGATCTCAACAGAAAAACTGAAGAGTAACGCAACAAGTCTGCACATTTGGTTGTACAAAGTATCACAAAAAAAAAAAAAAAAAAATAGCTATTCCGATATTTCTATCAGTTAATGAAAAAGGTCAATGCAAAGAAAATGCACGTTTGGTATGTGTATTTATAGAAGCTTTCATCTTCGTGCTTATTCTAATTGTTGATTTAGTTTATGCATGGTGAGAGGGGGTGTTAGAGTGGTCTTAATTTTTGAATATTTAGACAATCTATGAATTATGGATTACACATCAAACATAAAATTTCAAAAAGGGAAAAAGGACAAATAATTGGATTTATATTTTCTAGCTTTGTTGCTTGGCGTCTCGGTTGCAGAGAGACACTTGGTTGTTTACAGGGGCAGCGTTTTTTTTAACCCATTAACTTAACAAATCTATAATAAGGGTAGGAACCAAAAGTAATCAATTTTAACAAATAAGGGACACGACTAAAAATTCATATTTTAAACAAACTAAAACTAAAATTTAATATATTTATAGACACCAAAAACTTACTTAAGTCAATATATAAATAATGATGCAAATGCGAGTTAATTAATATCATTTCGTTGTTGTGAAGAGTCTCAAAAGTCTCGTGGATCAAGTACTCACCCTCCTCTAAAAGTCACCAAATAGAAGTTTTCAACGATATTAATTTTATCTAGCTATGAATATGTACCCTTCCAAACATGGAGGTTGCCTCTTCACTCCTTTAATTGGAATCTGCTTATATTTTTCTTTGCAATGTGTAAAAGAGGGTGACATATCCTAAGTTGTTTCATCACTCTTCTCTCAAATGTAGAACCTTATTCCTATGCTCCTCAATTAAGCTTCATTTGTTCAAAAGGATTCATCCCGGAGTCTTCATTATGTTTTCAATGATTAATTGGATAAACACACTGAATACTGTGTCTTTTTTCTTCTATGTGCGTAAACAAGAAATTTACATTATGTTTTCAATTCAACTTTCACAGTTATGCAACTAGGTGAGTATTCCCGCCTGTGTCGCGGGTGACCCGGGTTTGATCTCTGGCAACGGCGCCAAAAATTTATTGACCTTGCTAAGTAATATAGGGCGTATTTGAGACTCCAATATCGTTCCCACAAGGATTTTTGGCGTTTTTGACTTGACTAAAATTTGCAATTACTTAAAATTGAATTTCTAACTAAAAACAATACTATGATTAATGTTGATAAACAAAAAATAAAAGAAACACGCAGAAGATTAAAAGTTCATTTGGGGGTTTTCTGATTTAGATTTAAAAACAATTTCATAATGCAAACAATGAAAGGAATAAAATAAAATGAGAAAATTATTTTTGGACTTTTCAAATTGATTATGTTTTGCAAGAATTACTAAAAAATTTTACTGAATAAAAAACAAACAAATTTGACAAAGTTTTAAGAAATCTAGTTAGAAAAATAGGTTGAGTTCTAATTCCTTCCCCACAGCCCCTAGTGTGCAATTGCTTAACAAGATTCTTTCACGATCATTTTTCAATTGAAAAACAACGGTAGATTTTTAATCCCTTAAAAATTCTTTTCCCTTTTGTTCTCACACAACTTATCCCTAAGCAAGTGAGACTAAGAGCTTGAAGCTCAGGTCCTTTTGGCCACATGGAAGAGTAAAAATCATCTCTGAATTACTCCCTCAAATAATCCCTTATTTGAGTCCATGAGCTTAACTCATTTTTCAGAGAAAATTATTTCCCAATAAACTTCCTGTAGGCAAACATATTCCATACGGCAAACATAGAATAAAATTTGAACAGATAAATCAGAGTTGAACTAAAGAAATTAAACTTTAATTCCAGATAAACAATCAACATCAGTCACTGTGGTTGGGGTCTCAATCACCCAACCCTTTAAAGGTTTAGCTCATACCCATAAAGATTGAGCTACAAAAGCAGAAATGAAAATAAAAATTCTAAGAAAATAAAGTGCAGAAAGCTTAAAATACAACACGAGTCTTATTCACAGAAATAGCCACGGTACTGTACTGACATATTCCAATCCGAACAAAGTAGCATCTATTACAGTACCAGAAAAAACAAAAACAAAATTAAAGAGAAATAGAGAAGAAGGATTACAGAAGAAGTCCCTTACAGTGACGCTCTTCCTTCTTTTATATCCGCTTCTTTTGCATGTGAAAGCCTCGTGACCCTTGCATCAATAGCCACGTGTCTCTGCTCACACTTCAATAATCCTTTGCACAAGCATCTTCTCTTTCCACGCGCACTCCTTCCCAACGAAGCGTAACTGCCTCAGGTTCACAAAACAGTTGGGGTTTTCTTTTGTAAATTGTATTTTCTGAAAATGGTTTGGTTCAGACTTGGGTTAGATGAACCATTTTGTGTGAACACAGCTAAAGAAGTAGTTTTATGGTTCGATGATCAGAGAGGAGTGAGATTGGGTGACTCAATAGACTAAAGATTAAGAATGCCTAGGGTTTGATAGATTCAAAGTGCTTTTCTCCAATTTGTATCCAACACTGTCTTGGCTTTCTTTCTTACAATTTTTTCTCTTTCTTGTTGTTTATTTGGGCCTTGCATCGTAAAATTCAGCCCACTTTCTTTTCTTCTTCTTTTTTTCTTTTCTTTTTTTTTCTTCCTTCTTTGCTTTGGGAAGTATTAATATGTGGGCCTGAAAATAAAAATAAAGCCCATTAGCATTTAAATCAACAACATTTCAGTTCAATGTAATTTGGGTATTTATTAATATGAAGAGTATTCTTTTTTTACATTTTCATATTAAAAATTATATGGTTTAAGTCACATTTCCTGGACTTATCATGCGTAAACAAGCAATTTACATCTTTGCCTTATAGCATGAACTGAAGCACACCTTATATTGCTTAATTTGGCCCCTTGCTTCTAGTTATGCTATTAAAGAGAATGCTGTTAATTATTTTAAGGTTCAAATAATGTTTCTATGCACTTGCTTATAGTTTCTTCCTTGGTTTAGCCATTGTATTGCAAATCCTTCCTAAAAGTAATCAAATGTAGAAGAAAATCAGGTTTATATGACATAGTACGCTGTAGCTATCCTTTTAAAATAGTACGGGGAGCCCAAAGTCCTTTGCGCAGTATATTTCTACCAAAGGGTCAAATGATGAGCAATGATAACTTGGCTCCATATTTTATTTCAACTCAAAATCTGAAGTTATTAAATTTAGGGGTGTGTATGAGTCGAATTGAACTGAAGTTTTTGAAAAATCGAACTGAATTGGTTTAAACGGTTCAGTTCAAAAACGGTTCGATTCAAAACAGATTCGGTTAAGTTCAAAAATAGTTCAATTTAGTTTGGAACTGGTTTGGGTCGACCTCATTCTGAAAAGAAAAAAAAAGAAATTCGGTTTGATTCTTGAACTGGTTTAAAAACCAGTTCGGTTTGATTCTTGAATTAGTTTAAAAACCAGTTCGGTTCATGAATTAATTATTAAAAATTAATTATTTTAAGTGCAGTGCAGTTAGTTCACAATTTGATTCAATTCTTTGATTATTTTGCACATTTTTAAATTTAAATCTGTGCGTTTAACACTTATATTATTCTCACTTACTATATGTCTAATCACTCCCACTTTCATTTTCATTTCCAAGCTTTCCGACTGTGAACTTGCTAGAAAATAATCAAATGTGAAATATTGTTCATAAATTGGTAAAAGGATAAAAATAATTTTAAATTGAAACATTCTGAAACATTTTTTCAAGGAGTCGCCGAAATAGCAGCCTAAATTCTACGTTCTTCTATGGTTCGAGAGTATCATCATCTTTAGGAGTCATAAACAAAACTTTGAATGAAGATAAAAAATTTTTTATCAACTTCACATTATCATTTAATCAGGTGTTAACTTTTTACAAATTGAATGAATATTTAATTTCAATTCACTTTTGATATAAAACATTTTTACATGACATTATTCATTTATATATACAAAGATTTTTTTTTCATACATATATATATATATATATACAAGGAAATTATCTATTACTATATATTAAATTAAATAACACTTTCTTGATAGTATCTTAATATGTTTTTCTGCTCTCCTTTAAATAATGCCACATGAATTTATTAACTTCTCTTTTTTCAAATTTCAAATTTAAATTTTTTGAATTAATTACATATATCTTCTTTACAATTTTAAACATTTTTTCTCTTTTAATTTGTACCTTTTTATATTTGT